TTGGAACTCCTCGCCTCCCCCTTAGTCGTGGTTCTGGAACCCCCCTGCCTCCCCCCGCCCCCCACTTCTAAGACAGCTAAACCATGACTGCCTTTCCCAAGCAATGTCGAGAATATAAAAAATGTAACATTCCGGGTTCTTCGGATGAACAGCGCGACGGGATCGCAATGGCTAGCTGCACCAGCCAAAAGAAAGAAAGAACGAAAAAAAGAAAAAAGAAAACGCCGCACTCGTGCTTTGGCAAAGCCTGGCTTGCAGTTCTTTTCCGCCTGCGCCAAAAAGAAGCTCGGAGGAAGTGGTGTTTTTTTCAGGAGGAACAGAAGAACAGGAAGGGGGGGAGGTGCCCAAATTCTACCCTCTTCCTTGAGCCACCAGTACTTGGCCCAGCTATCGGCCATGGAACAAAATAGAGTAGAAATGTTTCTAGTCGGATGAATTTGGTCGCTTCTGTAGTGACCAGTACATTTCCTAAATTTGTGGCTCGTTAACGGGCACGACTTCAGAAAGTACTGGTGGTGGTTTAACTTCTCTGGAGCCCACCACTGCAGTACTTCCTAAAGTCGTGCCCGTTAACAAGCCACAATTTTAGGAAATGTCCGGGTCACTACAGAAGCGACCAAATTCATCCAAGTGCCAAGAAAGTGCTCCTGAGCTTCTCCGTGCGTTCGTTCCGAGAGAAAGTGGTCCTTCCTGCGGGAAACCCCTGCGAAGTTCCAGGGACTTTTTTTGTTCCAGGTTCCGGAAATAGACTCCGGAGAGAGTGCACCTCCTTCCTCTGGAAATCCTCAGTTCAGCGAAAGTGCTCCTTACTCCAGGACTCCCGATTAGGAGTCGGCATGGTGACATGACTCCTGGAAAGGCGCAAAGCCCTCTTGATGGACTTGCCAAAAAAAGACTGTTTTTTGCTCACACACTTGGCACCTCTTCTTCAACCAAGCCCAAAAAAAAAAAAAAAAAAAAAAAAAAAAACAAAACAAAACAACTACTCTTCAACAAGGGGCGCTTTGCAAGAGTGGGGGCTCCACACTTGGCGACCGACATTGTAAGACACGCTGGGTTATCTCCAAATCGTCCAAAACGAAAAATCGTACAAAACGAAAAAAATCGTCGTCCAAAACGTTCTCGGTTCTTCCGAACCTTTCCAGAGTTCTGGAGGAAGGAGAGGAGCACGCTTTTTCCGGAACTCCGTTGTCCCAAAGGAAGGGGGTGCATTTTCCCAGGGAGGGTTCAGGGAAAGTTCACGGAAAGTGCACCCGCTTCCTGAAGAACTGCAGAATTCGGGGAAAGCGCTCCTTCCTCGCAAATTCGCAAGGAGTTTCGGAGCTCCCCCGGAGAAGTTTCTTGACAACTTCACCAGAGCTTCGCAGGAAGGATCGCTTTCTCTAAACTCTGGGGCTCTGTGGGGGAAATCCAAATCCACCTCCTTCGTCTGAGGGCACCGGATTTCAGGAAATTGATCCTTTCTCCAGAACTCCAGAGAGCTTCCGGAACTCTAGAGAAGTCCCGGTCCCGGAACTAAGGAACTCTGCAGATATCAAGCAAAAAGTGCTCGAGAAGACAGAGGGAAAAAAAAGAGGAGAGAGAGAGGAGAGAGAGAGGAGAGAAAGAGGAGAGAGAGAGAGAGGAGAGAGAGAGAGAGAGGAAAGAGAGAGGAGGGAGAGGAGAGAGGAGAGAGAGGAGAGAGAGGAGAGAGAGGAGAGAGAGGAGAGAGAGAGGAGAGAGGGAGGAGAGAGAGGAGAGAGAGAGGAGAGAGAGGAAGGCACTAGAGGCAGGACTAGTGTAGTAGAGGGATACTTGGCGAGGGAGAAGGGGAGGAGGTGGGAAAATAGGGACAGGTATAAAGGGGGTACAGAGAAGGGGAGGAAGGAAGAGATTTGGATCAGGGAAACGGGAGGTTTGGCGTAGTAAACAGAGGAGCTAAGGAGAGAGGGTGCAAGGATGTAGGAGGAGGATGTCCCGAAGACGTCAGAAATACAGATCGGATTGGAGATGAAGTTTTTGATATAGTGAGGATTGGACAAAGAAGGGGGGGCGCAGAGGGGGGCGGTTCATATGTCTAGAAACGAGTAAGTACAGAGAAAAGAGAGAAAGTGTGTTGTCACGTTCGATGGAGAACCATCCACCACCCATCCTTGTCCCACATCTGCCATCAGAACAGGGTTCGTATATATAGATGACGGTGCCATGGTGGCAGGTGGAGAGAACGGAGGGGGAGGGGGCGGGGGGCGTTGTTGAGCATCATAGACCCCTCAACACAATGCCCCAGCGTATTTAAGACTGTATTTGGACAGGAACAGGGTTTGTATACATTCATGATGCATGGGTTGTTCGGTAGAATTACTATCTAACCACATGGAGGAGAAGTGAGGAGGAGCAGGGGCCAGACAGGAGGAGGAGGAGGAGGAGGAGGAGCAGCAGCGATGGAGGTCAAAGAGAAGGTGGGAGGAGGAGGGGGAAGGAGAGGAGGAGGAGGAGGAGGAGGAGGAGGAGGAGGAGGAGGAGGAAATGAGGAGAGAAAGATGATGATATTGTTTACCATTCCAATTCCACGGCTGACTGTTAAGGGTGGCAGGACAAGACTATATGCTCTGGAAAAGGGGGAAAAAAAAAAAAAAAAAAAAAAAAAAATGCTATAGGAAGGAGAATGAGGAGTAGGGGAGGGAGGAGGAGGATCAAGATGGCATGGATGTCAGCATTTAGGGTTTAGGGTTTAGGGTTTTCTATACTGCGCGCGTACTCGCACTAGGACTTTTTCCACTCAGCTCTGGACGCGATTGTGGTCAGATTCATCCAGGTCTGGCCATAATCCCAGTCACATACCTTTTTTTTTTGGGGGGGGGGGGGGGGGGGGGGGGGGGGGGAGGCATATTTCTTCATTTTTTCTTTAACAAAGCTGGGATGCATTATTTATGAAAGTGCTAGTGTGAGTATGACAGTACTATTACCTTTTCTGTTTTTTGGGGACAAAAAAACCAAAACGGTACTATGACCTGAAAGCTATGCAAGAGTGGGGGCTCTTTTTTTTTTCATTGAAAACAAGATGGCATGCATGGTTGCTTTTTTTTTTTTTTGGTTTTTTTTTTTTTTTTTTTGAAGACGGCATGTATGGAAACGAGTTCTCTTCCCGCCCAAACCCAACCCATTACAAAACAAAGGAAAAAATAAATACGAGAAGTACAAAAACGACCTGAACAGGTTTGCAAACACGAAACCGAGCAACGACAAAGTGCACCTGGATGTACAGACGTCCAAGTGCATGATCTGCACTTGGATGTGTATGGGGGGCCAGGTTCACTCGTTCTGACAGGGCTAATTTAGTAATGTCGTTCTTCCAAACATTTCTCAAGGACTATTTCTGTACTTCACAAGCCCGCAA